GGCAGCCCTTACTTACTGCTAAACTTATTTCAAAAATAAGATACAATTCAGAAATATACTTACATATTTAGTGGCATTACAGAGTAATGAGACACAAACATATTTCTAAGCATGCAATCATATACTTCCTAAATTGAGACAAGGGGAACAAGTTCAAAAAGAGTACAGCTAAAACCTCCTCATTTTCTCCACTCTGTAACTGATACATAGATATCGATTTCCACAAGTTTGAAAATTAACTATTTATGAAGCAACTATTCTAAACAACACCTCCCAGGAAGCCTAAGGGAAAACTCCCTTTCCAATCTGAGTGCAGCCTACTTGCTCCAGGATCTCTATTGCTCCTTAGAGCTTTTCCCAAGAACTGTAACTATACCCGAAAGGCATCAGCTCAAGAACAGGTAACAGCTTCTTCTATTAGACCTCTGTCCAAGCTTTGTGAGAAGACTGATGAGGAATCTACCTATAATGACAGCCACTTGCTATATTTTGTATGGTTTTCTGAGGATGAGAAGAGGAGCAAGACTGGGGAAAACTTGGAGACAGGAGAATTTTGCTTTTCGAGAAGTTCACTAAGCCTCCCTGAGAGCAGTATAAGCCCCTACTCAGCATCAGTTACACAGCATTCTCCTCCTGGAAGAGAAGAAAGTGTATTGATGCTGCTTCTAGGAAAACAGAACCTATATATAAAAGTATATGTGCTGTAGGTCACAGTTCCTTTCATAGGTTCTATGCAGACATTTTAGATGACACCTTCCCCAGACTAGTTACTGACCCCAGCATTCTCACAGCACAGCTGAATCACCTTTCCTTCAGACACCTAATCAAACAGCAGCCTAGATAAATACACACAGTAGCTGGCATTAAGACCAGATTGTACGTTTTCCAAGCAAGAGTGCAGAGCAAGGCTGGCACTAGCACAACTGCTCAACAACTGAAGTGATGCCAATGCATGAAACATATATATTAGTTGAAATATAGTAAATAAAAACCACATGCACATAGACTAAGTATTAGAACTCAAATGATGAACTGGCTCCAGTCAGACTGTTCTAGAGCAACCGAGAGTTTACAGGCAAATAAAGCAGCAGCATTGTGGGGGATCCAATTAGATCCCGAAGCTAGCAAGATCACCTTGAAAAAACAAACAAGCAAACTGAAAAAAACAACACAAAAGCACCAGAAAGCACTGAAAGGAGGGGGAGAAGAAGGTGTTGGTTGCAGTATATTTCCTTGCACAGTATCTGAAACTAAGTCACAATGAATATCAAGTATAGAGAAGTCCTAAGGGAAAAAGAGACTGGAGTATAGCATGTTGTAGGAAGACTATCTCCAGCCAAAGTAAAACATCGCCTCATCCCCCAACCTTCTCAAAGGAAAGTCAAGATTAAGAACGAGAAGCACAGAAAGGTGCAATACATTTAAAGTATCAGTTACCAAAGAAGTGACAGAACTATGCAACTACACAGCGTACGTTGCACCTGAACATTTATAGAAAAGGTCACTCCTACGCTCGTTCTTCCAAACTCCACATATTCCTGTGTAGTATTTTGGGTCCTGTATTATTCACCTTCTCAGTTTTATTTTGAAAGACTCCCAAAAACACATCCACGGAGACTATACATGTTCCTACATATATGTCTTCACATATGCCAGAGACAGAATACAAGCTAACACGTGCAGTCTAACCTCATACAACCACTCTTCTGCAAAAACCAAATTCAGCATTCTGCTTCTGACAGATACACACTTTTTTAGTGAGATATGAAGTCAATCACTGAAGAATTTAAAAACCTTCTAAAGTGCATCTGCAGTTCTCGGAAGCTTGAGGATGCTCTCCTTTCGGCACTATCAACACTTCTCACCTGACGAGCCAGTGAAAGCACAGACCCTGACATACTGGCAAGAGACTTACCTACTGCATGCCATGCATCACCTCGATAACCACAGATCTAATCATTCTGCTTCTGCTTTTAAAAACTAGTCTCTAACACTACCTACTTCTCCAAGCTCTTAAGGGTGATCTTTCTAGTTTATCTCCATATAGCAAACGTTTCCTCTTTAGCACAACATACTGTGAGTTTGAAAAATAAGGAAGAAAATTACAAGTCTGCTGAAGGCAAGTGGAATCAACAGACATCAAAATTTTCATTAACTACTTTTCACTAAATCACTAGAAACAGGCTCCTTTCTATTTACGTATCATGTGAAGTGAGTCTGTATATGGATATTTTCCTCCCTTACCTGGAAGCAGTAGAGATAAAGTTTAAGAAAAGAAAATTTCAACCAGTGCTAAAAGCCACACATACCCATTTGGCAAAAAAAGCGTATCTCTTAGTTAAAGCAATCTATAGCTTTTGGTAAATCAGACAAACCGTGAGATCTTACTTTTGTTTCTACCAAAACATTATGACTAAAATATGGTCCGAGAACTTAGGCATAACGGTAGGAAACAAGTAGCATTTAAAAACTTAGTAAAGATCTCATCAAAATGGGTGATGTATTTTTAAAAAAATAAATAAATCTGGTTTTAGGTACTATACAAAGCAGTTAAACAAGCTGGTTAATGTTCAACATATCACAAGAAGTGAAGTTTATATTAAAATGACAGATCTTGTTCAACCTTTCTTAAGGCTGATAATTCAAATGCCTAACACAAAATCAACAGGCATTTCTAAGAACAAATACTCCTCTCCGAAAAACAAACAAGGCATTTACTAAAAATCATACTAGGTTATAAAGATGCCAAAGATCTTTCCCCAGACAACAGGATGTTTCTTTTCTACAGAGACATTCTCTGAAGATCATAGGAAGCCATTTTCTTCAAACTGCAGTAAACAAACCCTACTTCAAGTATTAGTTATCTGTAGATATTAAAAAAGCATCAAACATTAATCTTCTGTAGCAGAGTCGTTTGCATTTATGTTGCTTAGAGCTGCACAGGCACTCTTTCAGACCCAACCATAAAAGATGCCAAGATTGCTCTAGAGTACTTAAGATCTAGCTCATAACCCAACAAATTACCCATCAACTCCACGCCTCGAAGAAGCTGACCGTTACAGTCAGTCCAACAGTCTGAAGTCACACAATTTGTCAAAATCTATACTTTCATCAAGGTTTATAAATAGTAACTGATTACTGCACTTAAAATAACATTGAAATCTCACATTTCAATGAAAAAAGCTATTTTAACACAACTTTGTTTTGCTAAAGATTGTGAAGTCATACTTCTATCTGGAGTGAAATTTTTGATCCCAGAAGTTGCCACATGAAATCTGTTGCTTAAGAGGCCACTTTCATGAACAAACCATGTAAATTTCAAAAACATTCAGCTGTGTAAAAGGAGAAATTTGTTATTGTTTAAACAGACTGCCATGCTAACTGATGAAGAGTCTGGGCTCTGACCCACCAAAACAACTTGGCACACCTGCATCCACAGTGCCACCTGAAACCTCTTAAATGCTGGAAGGCAAGCATTCGATGAAGCACTGCATAAAACTGCTCCAAAAACCTCTTAAAACATCGTGATAGAAATTATTATCATTTAAACGGACAACTTATTTAAAAACAATGTCCTGCTGATGCAACTGGAAAATGAGTTAAAAGGTGCTTGATATATTAGCACCCCTAATAGGATTTAAAGAAAGATTACAGTTACATGAAGATAATGTTGAAAATACCTGTAATAAAACCGAAGATACAGTTATTATTTCAGAGCAAATATAAATAATGCCCTGGCTAAGCCTGACATAATGCCACGTTCTAATAACCTATGAGAATCTGAATAGGAAAATTGTTTTTTTTCCAGTCACTTTTATTTATTTATTTATTTATTACTGTAAGGCCCAAGTAGATTGTTTAAAAAGACTCTAGTATCTACTTGGCAGCCTCACATTCAAAATCAATTTTTGGTATATACAATTGTATATACCAAAAC